TTTTTTTTTTTTAGTTAGTGTCATTTTGTCACTCTCAGTAAAGCGCTGTGATGTCCTAGCTCACAGAACCTCAAACTCTTGGGCTCAAGTGTTCTCTTACCTCAGCCTCCTAAGTAGCTGGGACTACAGGCGCCCACCACAACACCTGGCTATTTTGGGGGGACGAGGTCTCACTCTAGCTTAGGCTAGTCTGGAACTGGTGAGCTCAGGCAGTCCACCTACCTCAGCCTCATAGAGTGCTAGGATTACAGGCAGGAGCCACAGTGCCTAGCCTTCTAACTTTTTTTTTCTTAAGTTGACTTTAAAAGAGTTTTTATTAGGAAAACTTTCAAATAATATGTACATATTATTGGAATATATTTCCCGCTTGTCCCTCATCTGGCTTTTGTAGTTTTCAGCTTGTAGATGATCTTTTTCATCTGTTCTCCTACCATTTTATTTTATTTTGAAGGAAATAACCATATCATTGTCACACATGAAAATAGTTCTTTAATGCTGTCTAGAATGCAATTATAATATTGAATTCACATTTCCATTTGTCTGATCTGTGGCATGAATGTTTTTAAATTGTATGATGAAGAAGGGGGGCCTATTGGTTTGTTATTTTAAACCATGTGAAAATGGACTATCCCCAGAATTCTGGATGTGATTCCCAACTTGGAGATCCAGAATCTGTTCTCAAATGTGACAACATGGAGGGCAGCTCTGTGCATGTTTTGATTGTGACACTTCTGTGTAAAAAGTATCAGATGTGCGTTTGGTGACTCTTGGGAGGTTCTCTTAATTCAGGCTAGTGGAAGTAAGAGGGCAGAAATGGGATCTAAGCTATAGAGTGGGAAATCACATTAGGAGCATTCACCTGTGACTCAACCTGAACGTGCTTGCTGGTGTCTGGCAGTTGCCTGGTTGTGGGAAGGAGGGAGCTATTTAGGACTAGACTTGACCTCCTTGCCTTCTTCCACAGTTCCTTTTTTTGTAGACAGCATTGCTTCAGGCCCTGAACTGCCTAGGGGAGACTGCATAAAGTGCTACGGTGATGGTGGTCTGCTTTCTTGTGATCTTACCCTGAACTCAGACACCTTGTGGATAGGGCTGGATCTTCCCTGATCATCACTATGGCTGGCCCCGGCCCTGTGTTGGTGATGAGTGGCCTCTCTTTGCTAGTGGGATGCTCCCCTCCCAAGGCTGGTCCCAGGGTGCCTGCTGTGCCCTGCACCTCATTTCTTCTGCTGCGCTAGCCATTCACTTAGGAGCAGTTGGGGCTGTCATGGACCTCTTTTATGAGTGTCAGTGCATAGTAGAACTTGATGACTTACATCTATTACCTTTTTCTTTACAATTAAGGAGTATGTTATACAGCCTTGCTCTGATATCATTGGCATACAAGAAAGCGCACAGATCGGAAGCTTCATTTTAGTGAGTTTGACCATGTATGTATACACTCATGAAAACATCACCTTCCTTTTTTATCCTCCTTAAAGACTAGGTAGGAGATGAGCAGCAAAGGGCCTCTTTAACTGCTTTTGTGTTGAAACTTGCTTTGCCAGATCAGAACAGAAAATTTGTGAATTCTGCTGTCTTTTAGCTAAGCACTGATATTGAAAGTTGGTATAGGCTTGGTGCCTGTAGCTCAGTGGTTAAGGCACCGGCCACATACACCAAGGCTGGCGTGTTTGAACCCAGCCCAGGCCTGTTAAAACAACAGTAACAACAACAACAAAATAGCCGGGCATTGTGGTGGGCACGTGTAATCCCAGGTACTTGGGAGTCTAAGGCACGAGAATTGCTTAAGCCCCAAGAGTTTGAGGTTGCTGTGAGCCGTGATGCCACAGCAGTCTACCAAGGGCAACATAGTGAGACTCTGTCTCAAAAAAAAAAAAAAGAAAGTTGATGTAGTCAAATTTTGATGGTGTTTATACTTATAGTTAACATACCCGTGAATGAGTTTCTAAATAATACAAGGAGACCTAGGAGAATTTTTTCTCTCTCCAAATAGAGAATAGTTGAGATTGAGAGTTGCTTGATTTTGGGAAAGGGGTAGAGTCCAGTAGATGAATTGAGGTGGGAGCACTAGCTCTGATTCTTGATATGAGGCCACCTGTGGGGCGTACCACAGCTTCTCAGTCCCTCCCATCCCTATCTGTGAAGTCAGGAAGGGGCTGTGGGGAGTGGGTGAGGAAGCATGACGCTAAGGTCTTAGTGAACCTGGGTGTACAGAGGATGTGGCAGTTCTGATGAGGAGCCCCATGGGTTGACATATAGCAAAGATGGAATAATTGAATAGGACTGGTTTGGTATATTGAAGAAAAGGGAAATTTCTTTCTTGTGCTTAAAATTGAAGGCTATTTAAAACTGGTAAGTTTTCCTGTGAGTCATTCATTCTCTTTCCTTTTCAAATTAAAACAACATACATATGTATTGCTAAACACAATGCAACAGTATAATTAAAAATGTTTTTAAAAATTAAAAATTTAACTTCAATTTTTTTTTTTATTCTGCTCATTTTTGAAACTTAAGGTATAAATGAAGCATAAAACTTACCCACATATTAAGTGTTCAGTTGGGTGAATTTTGAGTTATATGTGCTTATGGAACCACTGCCCAAAATAAAGCATGGAACACTCACCCCAGCAGGCTTTCTTCCCCCTTCCTTTCTGACTTCTGTCACAGTGGGTAAGTTGGTAGGTAAATAAACAGGATCATAGCCTATGTGTTCTTATGTGTCTGGCTTCTTTAGAAACCCCAGCAGGATTTAAGATTGATCGGTGTTTTACCTTCTGATTCTCAGTAGTGTTTATTGTAATATATCACAATTTTTCTTGCACCTATTAATGAACATTTGAATTGTTTTCCATTTTGGGTGTTAGAAATAAGATTGATGAATTTTTTTACAGGTCCTGAGTGGACCTATGATTTCATTTTCTGGGCAAAATGTTTGCAAGTGGAATTGCTGGGTGCTGTGGGAAGTCAGTCTATGGCCTGAGAAGTCCCATTGTGTGACCCTCCCATGGGCAGACTGAGTGTTCTGCTCCTCATGTTCCTACGAGCAGCAGTATGAGACCCCGTCATAGACTAGAAGGCGTGTGTAGAGGTGTAATGCACCTGTTAGAAGTATAACCTCTTCAGCGAGCAGTTTGGTGTGTGTAGAATCATACACAGCTGTGTTGCTGTCGCCATGGGCAGACGACGGTGCTCTTCAGAAAGGCCCCATGTGCCCCCTTGAACTGGTGATGCTGATGGGCCTTTTTAGTCACTGTGGGTTAGATTTGGTTTTTCCTTGAGTTCTTGTCTGTAGACATGCAGCCTGTGTTCTGTGGCTGGCTTCTTTTGCATAATGCGACTTTGAGGACTTTGAGGTTTATCCACCTGCTCCATGTATTGGCCGTGTGTTCCTTTTGGTTGCTGGGTAGGAGCTGGTAGTATGGGTGCTCCAGTTTGTTCATCCATCTGCTAGTGGACATCTGGGCCATTTCCAGCCTGCAGTCAGTATGAATACAGCTGCTGAGAACAGCAGTCCAGAGACCCTCTCCTGCCCTCCCAGAGAACAAACCCCTCTTCTCTGTTTGGGGGTGGTCAGGAAGCACCGGGCTCTGGCTGTTTATTCAACAGTCTCTACCCTCTTCCACACTGTTTATTCAACAGTCTCTACCCTCTTCCACACTTCACCTTCTGGAAGCAAGTTGGTGGCCTAGTTTCCAGGGTTTGGAGGAGGGGATTCCTGGTATCAGGAGGCTCCTCCACGCTCTTCTCTGTTGGCCAAAAGCATGACTGTCTTGAGTCTGCTAAATCATTTTCTACATCAGCTATTTAGGCTTCAAAATGCGTCTTTTCTTCAATTCTTTGTGTGGCTTTATGTCTTTTTATTTTCTAATCTGCATTAGTTTCTTTTTCATGTGTTGGGTGAGAACAAAGGCAAATGTGTGTTTTCAGCCTTTCCTTGACCCAGGGGTCTTTTTACCATAGGATGTTTAGCAAATCCCTGGTGGTGTACACCTTTCTCCTTTGTTTTTGCTAATAAATAGCACTGTGATGAGTGTGCTCATAATGAAATCTCTGTGTGTATGTATCTTTGTGCTACCTTTTTTTAAAAATTAGAGACCTGGTCTCACTGTTGCCCAGGCTGAACTGTAGTGGCATGATCTTAGCTCATTGCAACTTAAAAGTACTGAACTCAAGAAATCCTCTGCCTCAGCCTCCTGAGTAACTGGAACTATAGGCGTGTGCCACCATGCTCAGCTAGTTTTTTTTATTTATTATAAAGATGTTACACTGTATTGCTTAGGCTGGTGTCAAACTCCTAGCCCAAGCGATCTTCTCCCCTAGGCCTCCCAAAGTCCTGAGGGTACAGGTATCACACAGCCACCGTACCTGGCCTTCATGCTTGTTTCTTTAAGACAGATTTCTAGAAGTGGAATTGTCGGAATAAAAGACATAAATACTTGTAATACCAAATTGAATTCCAGGAAGGCTGGACTAATTTATACTCTAGCAGGACAAGACAGGTGTTTATGTTATGTTTTTGTGTGAGTGTACAGTCTGTGGAACTTTCTCCTTTGGTATTTTTTCCTCCTTTCCAAACACCACCTGCTTCCCAACAAATGCACACGCACCCAGTCTAAGAGACAGCCAGGTCTTAGTGGAAAGCTAAGTTGCAGCAGTGTTGGGTCTGCCTAGTGAACAGGCTGAAACACAGCCTGGCACCTCCCCATATTCATCCTCCCCAGTGCCTGGCACAGACTTGGGTGAACTCAGGCCGTGGACTTCTTTGTTCTAGGTTACACTCCCGGCACACCTTACAAAGTGTCCTGCTCCCCAACCAGTGGGGCCGTGCCACCGTACTCTTCCTCTCCCAACCCCTACCAGACTGCCGTGTACCCGGTGCGAAGTGCCTACCCCCAGCAGAGCCCATATGCACAGGTATGCTTGGGCGAGTGCTGCCGTGTGGGAAGGGGGCTTTCCCTCTGTGCTCTTAGCCCTTGGCCCTGGGGATCTTGTGACATTTATCTGTCTCCTCCCTACAGCAAGGCACGTACTACACACAGCCACTGTATGCAGCACCCCCCCACGTCATCCACCACACTACTGTGGTGCAGCCCAACGGCATGCCGGCGACAGTGTACCCTGCTCCTATCCCTCCTCCCAGAGGCAATGGGGTCACCATGGGTATGGTGGCTGGGACCACCATGGCCATGTCAGCAGGTGAGTCCTTATTTCTGGTGTGTATCTGTTCTGCAGGGACACTAGAGCTGGGGAGGGGAGCTGACCTTTGGCTCTGGATTTTCATGGCTATGGTTGTGTGGAAGGACTTCAAATCTTTTTGGGGGGGGGGTGTATCTTTTCATTTTTATTTTTGGCTCCTTCCTTTCCTCTTTCCCTTTCCTTTTGTGTGGGGTTTAACAAAAGAAGCCACAAGCTGAGTGACTTGCCTGTGGATTCTCTCTGAACTTGAAAGGGTCACTGTTGGTGAGCAGTAGGGACACAGAATGACCCCTGGGACCATGTTAAACCTTGAGCAGCAGGGGATGCTATGCTCCAGGAGGGGCTGGCCCTCTTGATACTGCCTGTATTGGGAATTGTCCTTGCGGGTCACATTGTGTTGTTGGTGAATGGCGAGCTTTTCATGAATCTAGGAAAGTTGGTCTGTTAACAGAGGTCACAGCTGCTTGTATTTCACAATCCTTCAGCATTCGTCTCTTTCATCTACTGTACTTCTGGGGCTGCCTCTAAGTGAAGGAAATAACCTGTGGAGAGATGGGCTACCCCATCTCCAAGGCTAGGCACATGTCCATGGAAACCACAGGGGCTTGCTCTAATATCTAAGATTAGGTCATTTCCTGGCCTTTGGGTAAATGTGGTCACCTTTGGGCTGTGCCTACACGGGGGCACTTAGTTGACGGTGACGAGTTTTTCTGGCCTTTACTTCAGTGTGAGGAAGTTATGCCAGGGAGAAGGGTATTCCAAGATGCCGTTGTTTCTGCTCTTCTCCTGGTTTCCCATACTTGCTGTAAACGCAGAGGAGACTGGGCAGAAATAGGAACTGCTCATTTGACACCCATGGCCAGAGAGCAGCCGGCCCCAGGTTGGGTGTGGCACACAGGGTTTGCCCTGTGTTAAGTGGTGCTTGTCCCCACTCGGGGCTCAGTCTCTTATTTTCTTTAGTTATAGGAAAAATAGGTTTCTTTTATTAATAGATATACTCAGAAGTTCATATAGTTGGAATCTCTGTTTTTCATTTTTCCTTTTTTTTTTGTTTTTACTATCTTAGCCATTTTTAAATGTATAGTTGTGTAGTGTTCAATATGTCCACATTGCTGCATAGCCATCACCACTATCTCCAAAAATATCCTCATCCTGCAAATCTGAAATGCCTATACCTGTTAAACAAAAGCCTTTTCCCCTGCCTTCCAATCCTGACACCCACCACCTTCATGAATTTGCCTACTCTAGGCATCTCTTCAAAGTGGAATTACATAGGACTTGTCCTTTGGTGACTAGCTTATTTCACTCAGCATGTCTTCCAGGTTTATGTTGTAGCATATGTCTGAATTTTTTTCCTTGTTAAGGCTAAATGGTAATTTATTTTTTTGTTTGGTAGTTGATCATCCTACCCCCAGAAATTATTGGTTGAGTGTTGTCTATGAAGATTAGGCACAAAGGCTTTTATGAACAGATTATCAGGACAGCTTTGGTGTGTTTAAACAACTTTTTGGGTACATGGGGTCTTCTAATCAGTTCTGACAGTGCCTGGGGGTTAAGACTGCTCTTGTACATCTTTTCCCTGCGAAGAGGCCAGACCCGGGTGCTGGTCAGAGGCAGCCCGTGCAGCACACGGGCCAGCCTTGTGTTACGTGCTGCTCTTTCTTCCAGGTACTCTACTGACTGCTCATTCCCCAACTCCTGTTGCCCCCCACCCAGTCACTGTGCCCACGTACCGGGCCCCAGGAACACCCACCTACAGCTATGTGCCCCCTCAGTGGTGATCACCCTGCAAATGTAAGTGACCGGTGAAGGCTGGCTCAGCCTTCAAGGAAAGGGCATTTCCCAGTGGAGAATAGCAGACTTACTACATAACTAGGAACTTAATGAGAGAAATGTACCTGACCCTTGATTTAAGGGCAGAGCAGTCTTTAAATTTTTGTGCTCACTGGGTCTCTACAAAATAGAAGCTGAAGAGAACCGTGGAGTACTCACTGTTCACAGTGTCCATCCTGATCCTTTCCTGGGTTGTGCTCTCAGGACCCACCTACTTGCTGTAGGAAACAAGGTTCCAGTTGTAAGTGGGGGTTCCTGGGAGGGGGTAGAAACCAGGTCTAGCAGCCTTGCCTGTTACTGCCCTTTCTGGCCCTAGTGGACCTTGTCCCCCCTGAGTTTTGGGAACAGTGGTGCTAGGGGAGTTGTGTATGATTTGGTGTCTGCCTGTCTCCCTGCAGGTTTGAGGATGGAGCTGTGCAGTCACATCATTGAGGTTCCACAGCTGGTGCTGCAGGCCTTGTGCCTCCAACCAGGACTTTCTTCTTAATGCTCTCGACACTTGGCTAAACATGACTACATCCCGGCCCAGCAGGTCCCAGCGCCGTTAGTCTCCAACTAATTCTGTGGGTTGGTCTTAAAGCAAATCCTGTTTTGTGGACTGCCTGGCAATTTTTTAGCTAACTGTAATGATAAAAAGGGAGTATTAATCTATTCTGAATCATATCTAGTTGAATGCATGTTTTAAAAAAAAAAACACAAAAAGCTTGCTCAATCTACTTGCAGTGACTGATGCAAAACCATCATATGCAAAATCCAAAGGAATGGAACGTATTTTACAACTTGTATCGCTAACGCACTGTTGTAATGTATGCAGAGTCTCCACGTTGTAAGTGTCACAGTGGACTTCTTCACAGAGCAATTGAGATATCTTAGATGACCCTTCAGCCTTTGGGGTTGATGTGTGTTGCCTGTTAGGGGCGTGGATTTTTAGTTTTCAATGACCTGTTTTTTGGGCACTGACTGCACTAAGGGGGGGTTGCCAGGATGGGGGAGAGTAGGGCAACCAGAGCTGTGAGCATCCCTTTCTCTCCGTTTAGGCTTGGTGGGGTTAGTGGATGGGGGACATGCTGAGAGACCATCATGAAAGATTAGAGTTGTATGGCTGGTGCAGTTAGGGGTGAGGGCTGGTTTCTGTGTCAGCAGAGCAGTTTTCTCTGTCTGAAGTTCCATTACAAGTCTCTTACAGAGTGCGATGGTGTTTCATACATCTTTATTGGAAAAGTCCTGTGTAGAACTCAGTTACTTTCCTGGGAGATGAGCGAAAGAGAAACAGCCATGCTTGGAGGAAGTATTGTCCTCTTCATTTAGCTTAGAAGATCATTCCTTTTTTTTTTCCCCTAGGAAATATTTGTGTCAGCTAAAAATACATAGGCATTGCTGTTTTTCCCCCTACAAAGAAGGCAAAGATTTCAGCTGTATGTTGTGAAGAAAGTTGTGTATTTAAGAATGATTAAAAGGGAACAAAACTTTATTTAAAATTCCTCGTGTTTCTCATAGAGAGGCAGGGCCATGGATATGTCTGATGATGTAGAACCGGGTAGCTTCTCCTGGGGTCTTCCACATGGTGGTCACTTGTCCTCTGAGACTGGCTGGAGAGAGCTTCAAGTGAGGGGCAAGGGTAGGAGGGTCTTGTCTGGAACCCTCTTCTGCTACCTCTACAGCTGGAGGCACTCAGTGCCACGCAAGCAAGGACAACAAAAGGGCCAGGCAGTGTGGCATATGCACCTGCCAGGGTTTATCATGGAAAAGAGTTTAAAATCTGAATTTTGTACATAAGAAATCAAGAGGATTTTTTTTTAGCCTAAATATGCCTGACTTGGGTCGATGGGAATGTGTGTCCATCTCATTTAGGGTCAGAAGGCCGAGGAGAGTAGGACTTGCTCCCTCTCCGTGGTCTGGTGGTGTTGAGCACTGTAGGCTCTAGTTGGGGATGGAGTTTTGCTCTTCATTCTCTGGCAGCTGGGTCAGGGCTTGGATACTGGTATGGAGGCCGCCATTAGTGTTCTGCCCTGGTTGCTGGGTGGGACGCCTGACCACTGAGCCTTTGGTAACTTTATTTTTTATAGTAAGTACTCTTCTTAATTTTCTTTTTCACCTCTTATTTTATAAGAACTTTAGGAATATTTTTGCATGGATCATTGTAAACAGAAGATTCCTTATTCCTGATGTCTAGAAACATAGAATGTTTACTGATAAATACTTTAAGTTGCTTCATGAGCACTTAGCCCACGTGTGTGTGTGGATGTGTGTGTAGTAAACGTTCATTGCAGGCACATGGTCTGTGTCCATTTCACCTCTGTGTTGGTAATTTCATCTGAATGGTGGATGGTTTGCAGTAGCACAGTAGCAGTAGGTTTGGAGGGTACTAGAAGCTCAACTGTTTGAATAGAGAAGTCATTTTTCTAAGCTGAGTGCTAATAGACTAGGGGGAATACTCAATGATGGTTAGTAGATACTTACAGAGTCCCACATCACAAAAAAGAGAAACACACACACACACATCCTCTTGTAAGCGGGGAGTCATTCATGTTCAGAGTTATTTAGATGTTTGTTCAGGCTTGCTTGAGATTTGGCGCACACAGGGTATGAGTGTTTTCAAGAGAGAGAACAGGGCACCACGACCCCATGTACATCAGCTTCATAAAAACTTTTCTTCCTCCCTATTACCTTTTTTCCCTTTTGTGAAGCTGAATTAAGAGACTTTATGAAATACTTTTGCATTGTATATCTGTGCAGAATCTTTCCACTTTTGATACGGTCAGGGCATCAAATATCAAATATTATCTATCAGGTAAGGATCTGGACTTATGAATAGTAACAAAACTGTCACAGGTTGCAATCAGGATTTGGTTCTAGTACAGTTAATTATGGGAAAGAACTTGGGTCAGAATTCTGTTAGAAAGCTTCATAACTTGGGTACCACAAGCATATTGTAGAACATCCTGAGAAATTCTGTGTGAGACATTACTAATTTGAGTCCTTCAGCTGAATTGTTTTAGAAGTTGACATAGGCAAGCCAGGGCACCTCATTCCTGCAAACATAAACATCATTATAGATATCTTTTAAGAATTTTTGTTTTACACCTTCTCTCCTGAGGCTTGGCTGTGTGTTCCGTCAGCTGTAATGCTGTTTCTCAGCTCACGGATATCTTGTCTGAATCTGGGCTAGTGTTTAGTGTCAAGGGACTGGCCTTGTGAGCTCACTGCCTCTGAGAAATGAGGCTACCCTCAGGGCTGGGGTCAAGGACAACCAAGGTAATAGGCAGGGAGGTACTGCTAGAACCTTCAGCATCTTCTTTTAAGAATATTCTTCTTGTGGTTCTCATAGGCCTACCAGTTGCTGTTTGGGGCAACTGTTTCTTGAGTGCTATGCAAATGATGCAGTATTTACAGGATACACAAGGCGGGTCCTGAGCCTTGCACTGGGCTCCTGGTCAGTGAGTGTCTGTCCCTTCCCCAGCCAGGCATACAGTGTCTTGGTCTATCTGGTGGCATCATCTGGCTGTGATGAATGAGGTCTAGGAAGTAATTTGCATGAGTCTTTGGGGGTCACATCAAAAATAAATTCTTGAGGCAATTTGGAATGTGCTAACATCTGGGAGTGCTGTTTCCACATAAGATGTCTATGAGTGTGCTAGTGGTGGTAAGAGGCAGGAATGCAGCAGCCATGTAAATACTGGGGTCTGCTTTAAAAAGGAGATCCAGACTACTTCACCTGTCCTTTTTAAACATTTGAAAACAGTATTATTCTGACCAGTTAGGCTACCTTCACCTCATTTGGCAATTGACAGTATTTGCCAGCCTGGGCATTGCCTGGACAGGATGAGATCTCCAGTGTGGGTACAGCCTGAGGTGGGTGGCAGTGACTGGTCCTTCTCTCTGGTGCTTTCTAAGTGGTGGGGTGTCTCTAAAGGGAGTGTGGGTGGCTCGGGGAGGGCAGAGTTGAGCTCTCTTCTAGCATCTCTCACATGTTGTGTTTTCTACAGGCTGCTTATTCCTCAGCTTGAGCTTTCTGGGGTAGGTGACCTGCTCATGGGGGTGTGCGGTCATTTTGGATACAAACTGCAAGGCTGATTTCACGTGCGTTCCAGAGGATGCGTGTGTTTCCTCACTCCCCGTTCATTTGAAGAGCAGGGACCTGTGGGGATAACCTGGATTTATAAAGCCAACGGGACTACAGTTGAATTTTAGGGACCAGGAGGAATGGCTTCTCTGTCCAAAGAGCCCTGGTGGCCTTCAGGAGGGATGGTTCGGTCCCAGGACAGTGTCTCTCCTCACTGAGGGGCTATGCCCACTGGTCTTTGTGCAGACTGTGGCAGGGGAAATACCACCTGGGCCAGATCTGAGACCAGCTATTTGTGCTACTGGCAGGGTTGCTGTGGTGGTCACTTGGAAAGGCCCCAAGGAGCCTCATGGGTGGAATAGAAAATGATTCCTTTTTTTTTTTTTTTTTTTTTTTAATGATTTTTAAATACTGTTTTCTACACCATTCTCTTGGTACATTTTTTAAGCTAAGTCACATTGTCTTCCAGTGTTAAAAGGCATCTCTCACCTCTGCATTGAACTTGGGTATCAATACCAAGGAATGGAACATCCATCCTGAGCCAGTTCAATTAGGTGTAAATTCATACTACTTTAATTTTTTATGCAATCTGATCAGTAGATGAGCTCAGATTTAAAATTCTCAAAGCACGTTTATTGTAACAAAGATTGTTATGTATTAATACTGCAGTTTTCAATAAAGATTGACTTGTGTTGCATATCCTGGACCTCATGTCTCCATGTGGGTTTGGTTTAGAGGTAGCTTGGCTTGACCAGGAGGGACTTTAGCTTCTCTCAAGTTGGGAGACTGTTGGGAGAGTTGGGAAGGGCATTGTGGCCTTCAGCCCTAGTGACCTTGACAGTGCTAATGAATGGGTAGGGTGGGGTGGGAAGGGAAGTAGCCTTATGGTCCTCTTATCCTAGCTTCTGTGGCCAAGGTCTTCCTGGGAAGACACCTCATTTCATTGAGAAGGATGCTGAGGCCCAGAGAGATTAAGGACCTGTCTTCAAATTCAGCTGGGCCAAATAGAGTGGGAACAGCAGGACGGAGGAGGCTTCAAGAAGGGGGGAGGGCAAAGGCAGCTGTACAACCCTCCCACCCGCCCCGCCCAGTTCTATTCCTCTACTCTGAAGGCTGTTGGGTTTATCTTTTTCTCTTCAGGGGAAAGGCTAGGACAGAGACAGGTAAGGGGGATGCAGGAGAGGAAACACACACATACCAACAGAAAACTAGCTGGCAATTGGGTTACTTTTCATAAGTTTCTTTATGAAATTAAATGTGGTTTCTGGCTTGGAGAAGATAATAGTGCAAGAGTGACTGTCCATGCTGCTGGGTCCTGTGGCCTCTGCACTGACAGCTGACACCCTGGGCGGGATGGGGGCGTGCTGCAAGCGCCTGCCGCCTGGGGCACCAGGTCAGTTCTGGATGCTGGGCCACAGCGTTAAATCCTTATGGCTTCTCACGCTCACTAGGGTAAGGCAATCTTTCTGTGTCACTAATAAGAATCAATTATTTTTCTCCATTGTTAGAAAAACAAGACAACAAAATCCAAACAAGAAAAACAAGAACCAGGTGGCTGTGGAGCCACCCACAGCTATAGGTGGGCTGTTCCACACCCAGGCCATGGTGCACAGCAGCTATAGGTGGGCTGTTCTACACCCAGGCCATGGTGCACAGCTGGCTCTTCCCACCACAGACACACATCACAAGGGAAGAGGGTGGCCACCAGCATCTAGGGAGGGACTGCCAGGGGCTGGAATGCAGAAGGGCAGGCTCTGGGCCAACCACTGGGGCATGGAATTCCTGGTTCCCACCCCTAAGCTTACAATATGCCTGGAGCCACTGGCTGAGCTGGGGCTGCAGGCCCAAGAGGAAAACCGGAGGGCAGAGGAGCATGTGGCCAGGCCTTGTGGGCCACCAAAGGCCAGAGTTGGTCACTCCTGCCCAAAGATAATGGGAGAAGGGAAGATTAGCTGTCCAAAGAGCCTCCATAGTAGTCAGCCCAGTTGTTGGCTTTGAGCTGTGTTTCCTTGGCACATTGGCAGCAGGTGCCCTGCACAGGTCCAGAGAGCAGAAGGGATGGCACATGTCGGGGCCCTGCTGCCCCTAACTGGCCGCCTCAACTGTCCAGAAGCAGGGAAAAATCCAGAAATGGGAGCACAGACCTGGCAGGTTTTGTCCCCTGGTGGCATTATTTGACTCCCGTGCTCAGCCCTAACAGTTTTCCAGTTTGTAGACCAGGCAGAGAAGGACCAGGTGCAGTGGGCCACAGGGAGGAAAAGCTGGGGACCACTGGTGGGCAGGGTCCCGAGAGCTATCGCTGAACCCTAGCTCACTTGCGGAAGGGTGCCAGCCGGCTGATGCTGTGCCAGAAGGTAGATGGCTTCCGCCGCGGCTCTGCCAACACCAGGACCTGTGGTTGGGGCCGGCTACTGGGCAGCGCTGGGTGCTTCTGACGAGTCAGATAACAGGGCCGGCCAATGGCTGGGCAAGGAGAGATAGCAGGGTCACAGATATCAGAGTAAGCCCCTGCTATGGGGGTAGCATGGGGTCATCCCACAGCTCTGCCTCAGACCCTCCCTCTATGGAGGGATTTGCAGCCCAAAGAAGAGAATGCCCGGTTCCAAGGCCTTAGCTCCCATCTGTAGAAGTGGAGAGATTAGCTTCTTCCCACCCAGGTGGCTGGGAGGACGCCTACCAGAAAGTATGTATGTGGAGGAAGCCTGTCACTGGTGGTGCCTCTGGGAGTGGTGGGAGCACTATATGTGATCTAAGCCTTATTACCAGCAAAGGGCAATGGGCACCTCGGTGGGTCCAGGGGGCTTGTTTGGTTGGCTTTGGGTCAGAGATAGGAATGTCAGGAGGTGGGACTGCTGTCCACTTACTCTTGGGCTTCCCTGTGGCCTGCTGCTTGCTGGCATTCAGCATGGCCTGCTTCCTCTGCAGCTCAGTGATAGAGAAGCCTTGGGAGGGAGGGAAGCACAAGTGAGGCCCTGCCCCCTCCTCCCCACATTCCTCAGGCAGGGTCCTCTCTGCATGTCTGCATCTCCCACAGTGTTAGGGACCCCTCACAATTCAGGAAGCTCCAGGGCCTTCCCTGTGCCTGTCCATCTCACCTTGACCTGATGCCCCACCCCCACGTCCCCTGTGTCTACTGTCCTTCCTTTCTACTGCAGTAGAGGCTTTTCCCCAGACCAGAGCCAACGTGGTCACTGCCAAGAGTAATAGCGGGGGCCTGTGAACAGGAGCGGGGTGCAGCAGGGAGACGCCTCCTCACATGAGGAGGCTTCTGGAGCCACTACCAATCTCCCATTCCAGGGCTCTCCGAAGGCCTGTGCTGGCAGGGAAGCCACCTCCTGCCTCGCCAAGTCCCAGCAAGCAGGCATTAGGCAGAAGGCCCCTGCACATTGGAGTGTATGCACGTGTGTGTGTGTGTGTGCACCTCCACGCAGTGTAGGATGCCCACATGTCCGAGGACTGCATGATGAGGAAACACCACCACAGGACACAAGTGATCCTGTAAGTGGAGTGACAAAGGCAGTACCTTGTGTTTCATAACTGGCACAAAGAGGTGCCTGGAGCCTCGCCGGATGCTGACTCTATTTCAACACCGTCTGGCAGCCTAGTGAGCAGGAGGGCTGGGTGGGCAGAGCCCAGCAGGGTCTCATACCTGTCTCCTGGTCGAGCCGCACCTGCTCCCTTTCCCTGGCAAAGGCCTTGAGCCAGCGCTGCTTCTGCTCTGGCTTCCTGGTGCACAGCAGGTGGCTCTCCCCCGTGGTGCCACAGTGCAGCCTGAAGGCATTCTTGATGCTCACATGGAGGTCTCTGTCCTTCCCATCCTCCAGGTCTACCACTTCCAGGCCATCTATGTCTAGCCGGCCCTTGTAGTACAGCACATCCCGGCGAAGCAGGTCCTGCCAGACACCACTCTGAGCCCTACCCCAAATTATAGGACGCACGGTTTCTGGACCCACCCCTCCACCATGCTACAGGAGGAGGTGGTGGCTGTATACTCAACTCCCCTGCAGACAGCTGCAAAGGGTGCAGCAGGTCTGGTGTGGCCCACAACTGCTGAGCCATGAGTGGAGGGCCCTGCCTCCTCTGTCACAGCTGGTGACTAGCCATGGGTCTGCCCTGGCTTTGAGGTGTGCATTCTGGCATGGAGATGGCCATGAAAACTAAGATAGCAGCCCACACTGCACAGCAGGAAAGAACACCAGGGGACAGAGAGTGCTTCGTGGACAAAGGGACACTGGTCCATGTTTAGAAAGAGGAGCAGAAGCTGACACTGCAGGGGAGGCTGGAAGACAGCTGGACAGGGACCTCAGGGTGGTTTGGGAAGAGGATGCAGAGGTTTTCACGGAAATGAGAGGAAGCTTGAGGAGCAAGGATCTGGGTCAGAAGAAGGGTGGTCTCAGCAGCACCCACCCCGTCAGTCTACCAGAACTGCCTCTGGTCCCTGGGCTGCCCAGTTCATCTGCAGAGAGCCACCCTCAGGCCAGCTCTCAGGGCCTGGCAAGCACCTGTCCTCCGGGCAGCCATTCCCAGGCCTTTGCTTCACTCCTTCCACCTGCTCTTTCTGGGCCCACTCTAGGGTTAGAACAACTCTTATTACCTTCTTACAGTAGATAAGCTGGTGATCAAAGAGAAAGAACATTCTCTGCTGGCTCTTAGCTTGAGGCTGTGTAACTCGAGTCAGCTCCCCCGAGTAGATGAGTTCTGAGCTCCTGACCAAAAGATCTTCCCCCTGGGGAGCCCCAAGGAGAATCATGAGCTGAGTGCATCCAACCTCAGGCAACGCTTCTACCTCCCTGGTGGGTAGGTGGAGGTCTCCCCTGGCTGACCTGTGAGTTGGCTATCCTTGCAAAACAGGACCCCACTGTACCCAGAGGCTTCATGTGGCACTTCAGCACTTGGCAATGAGGCTAATTCAGATTGAGATGTGATCTCAGTGGAGACACAGTATGAAATAATGAACGTAAACTATTTCATTAATGACATTTTGTGATTATAAGTTGAAATGATATTTTAGACATACTGAGTTAAAATACTATTAAAATTAGTTTCACCTATTTTTTTTTTTTTTATTGAGACAGAGCCTCATGCTGTCCCCCTGGGTAGAGTGCCATGGCATCACAGCTCATAACAACCTCCAACTCCTGGGCTCAAGCGAGTCTCCTGTCTCCGCCTCCCAAGTAGCTGGGACTACAGGCGCCCGCCACAACGCCTGGCTATTTTTTGGTTGCAGCCGTCATCATTGTTTGGTGGGTCCGGGCTGGATTCAAACCCATCACCTCAGGTGTATGTGGCTGGCGCCTTAGCCACTTGAGCCACAGGCGCCAAGCCTCACCTATTCTCTTTCTCTCTCCTTTTAAGACTGATACTATAAAGTATAAAATTCTTATGTGGTTTACATATTTTGATTGGAAAGTGCTGCCCCAGAGAAAAATTAAGGGTGGCTAGAATTCTCTTTCGAGGCCAACTCTGAGTTCTAAGGAGGCCCTCTTCCCAGCTAGGTGTCTTTTTTTTCAGACAGAGTCTCAAGCAGTCACCTTGGATAGAGTGCTGTAGCATCATAGCTCACAGCAACCTCCAGCTTGGACTCATGGGATCCTCTTGCCCCAGTTTTTCTATTTTTAGTAGAGACAGGGTCTTGCTTTTGCTCAGGTTGGTCTCAAACTCGAGCTCATGAGCTTGAACTCACCCACCTTAGCCTCCCAGAATGCTAGGATTACAGGCATGAACCACCGCACCCAGCCTTTCTAGCTAGATGTACCTGAGGTCCATCCTCTGTTATTGGGCCTTCAAAGTTTTAGACTAAGCACCAACCCCTTCAGTTCCTCCTTAAAAATGCAAACCACAGCCAGAAGTTGTCCACAGTATCAGGTTTGGATGAGTGAGTTTGCAGGAGTCCTTGGCAAAGGCTAGGCCATAGAATCAATTGCCCACATTGCTTAGCCCTACTCCAGGGTTTCTAATTGAGTTATGTTGAAGTGGGGCCCAGGAATCTGTATTTTTATAACATTTTATGGGTGATTGTGGTTGATTTTCAGGTCATTTTTTTTTTTCCCTGATAGCTGGTAGAGTGCATGGCAGGCAGCACCAGTACCCGTGTGGGCAGGGAAACATCAGGAGCAGGGCTTCAGATGAGATCGGGCGCATTCAGGGTGGTATGGCCATAGACAGGAGGAGGAAGATTGGCAGGGGTACAGAGGGGGACAGGAGCATTGTAGTTCTAAGGCCTTGTTGCTTCAGAAGGCAGGACTGGCAGACATGGGAATGTGCAGGCCAGAAAAATGAAACCAGAAGGTCATGCTGGGTAGCCCTACACCCTCTGCTGGGAATACCAGAAATTAATTAAAAGGGATCCAAACTGTCTCCCAAGGCAGAGGAACAGAGCACTTGTGCTGGGGCTTCTCCTGGGCAGGCTGACTGCTCGTGAGAATTGAGTGATCTTTCATATGGGGAAGAGGCCAGCAGGACAGAAGCCAGTCCTGGTTGGCAGCCATGAGGGCCTGGTACCCACATCAGGACGTTTCTTTCCCACCACCAGCATGTTTGATAGTTCATGGCTCCTTGCTTTAGTTTTTTCTAGATGTTTCAGGGGCAAGCATGGTTTTAAACCAAGAGGCCAAAACCTTGTAGTATTTTTTTGGACCCCTGGGCCCTCCTCACCTCCCAGTCTTCTATGGAGCTCTGCCACTGAGCAATCTTGTCAATGTTTTCAAGTCTCCGTTTCCGTTCATTGATGAGCCGTGCCACGTTCTTCATGGCATGCAAAGCAGCTTCGACATCCTTGAAGTCCCTGGGGCAGAACAGAGATGGGGAATGTGGGGCTTCCTGCAGCCCCCAAGTATGGAGTTGCTTCCTGCTGTGGGTGGGCCCCTTGGCTACATCCTCACCCCTCAAATGCACAGATGTTCTCTGCCCCAAGCAAGGGGAGCTTGTGAGAGCAGGACTGGCTTTTCTACAGCAGTGTCCTGCACATAGCTGTCTCCCTGCCTTGCCCTCCTACCTGTGCTGGGGGTGCGTATACTTGAGCAGCTCAGCCAGCTGCAGAGGGTACTTGCAGATCTTCTGCACTGGGGTCAGCAGGAAGCCATCCAAGGAGATGTCGATCATCTTTTGCAGCAGCCGGCAGGCCTCGAAGAAGTACACATACTTGCTGAGCTTGGTGAGCCGTGAGAGTTCGACGCAGGCATTGGGGTGGTTGTTACAATACTCAGAGTAGATCTGGAAGTCCGCTTGCTGGGGGCACAGGTGGAGGTTAGAATGGCATCTCCTCACACAAGAAAACCCAGCCACATGTCTGGTAAGTGCAGAGCTTCTGCACGGCTTCAGCAGCAGGCTCAGGGTGCCCAGGGTCTGTCTACCTACTTCAGAAGGCACAGTGCTGGAGTTATGCCCAGGGAGGGAAAGAACCCTGGGAAGGAGTGCCGCCTGCCCTGGCCTCCTTCCAGCCTTCTCAGCAAGGCCTTCCGCAGAGATTCTGGCTGTAATCTATGTTAATGAGGAAGGGCTGTCTAGGCCAAAAGCAGGGTGTGGGATATAGACCTGCTTTGCACAACCCCACGTGACTGCCCCCAGGAGAGGGATAAAACAAGTCCTTTCACTACCAAGGGAGACCAGGAGTTCCACCTAGACCAGACCAATCCAATGAACTTTGGCTAAATGGAAACTGGCATTTAAAGTAGATGCAAGCTATGGATTCCACACAAAACCCAGTATTACTGACAGGGTGAGTTACTCCATAATCTGCTTTGACCAGCCCTTAGGGCGCTAAGCAGGTGGCTCAGCCCACCTGTGCCTTCCTCTGTCAAAGCACTCCGGGCCGTGAGATGCCCCAGGCGCCTCCCCTGACTCGGCCGCTCCGTAGCTCCTGACACTAATGAGGTTTGGGCTGCGGACAGGTAGAGGGCCGGGGCTTGGGTACCCGGAATGTGGAAGGTCCTGGGAAGAGAGCAGTGCACGGTCCGGGTTTGGGAGAGGGGCACTGCCATGCTTAGGCGCTCAGGAGGGCCGGTCCCTACACGTAAAGGGCGGGAGCGCTCACGTGCTCCAGAAAGCAGGCGCCCAGCTCGCTCAGGTGCGGACGTTCCCGGTTGAACTTTTGCTCCAGGGCCCTCACGAACGCCTTCTGGCAGCGGTAGATGTCCTCGATGTTCCCGAATATGGTGCGCAGCTGCTCCTCGCTGAACATGTCCGCGCGCTTGCGGCACTGCCGGAGGTAGCCCTGGGGGCGGGGCGCGTCAGCCCGCCCGCCCCACGCCGCCACGCGGAGCCGCTGCCGCCGCGCCCCGCCCCTGCCCTGCCGCCCACCCGCCGCACCTCACAGATGTCGCGCAGGTGCTTTATGTAGTCTCGCTCGGTGCTGAGGATCTCGTTGATGACGTTGGTGCGCATCTGGTCCTTGCTGTTCTGCGCCTCTGGTCCGCCGTCCCCGGCCCCGCTGTCCCCGGCCCGCGGGGTTTCGTCGTCCGCGGGCTCATCCTGGTTCACCCGCAGCTGCAGACAGGGCGCGGCCCGTCAGCGCCCCGCGTCCCTCGGGGCCAGAAAAGCTGTTTTCCGAGGTCCCGCAGGACGCACAGGGTCGTCGGGCCGGCCGCAGGCTTTCCCACCACATACCCTGCACAGAGGGCCAGCTAGCCGCCCACCGCGGCCGCTGCCAATGTTACCAGGGACTACCCGGCCCCTGCGAAGGCGCCGCGCTCTCCCGCCCTACACTCGGCCAATGCTCAGTGCAGAGGCAGTACCTGCCCATATCGAGCCCTTGAGGGGCTGTAACACACCTGCAACTTAGGGAACGGCTTGGGCCACAGAATGGACAGTTTGCCCAGGGGTTCTGGGAAGGAGGCGCACCTGGGTTCTTGTTGGCAATCAGAGACCACCTGAGAGAATCTGGGCGCGTTCCCTGTGATCCCTACGGCTAATGACTTAACTTGTCCGTGCCTCAGTTTCCTCAGGTTGTAAGTCGTGGTTCCCACCTCTCAGTGCTGAGTGTTAATGGGGTGGCCCATGTGAGCGTCCTGCGCAGTCATTTCTGACCTCCTGCTCTTTCTAGCCTCTAGGGCTGACGGAGGGTGGGGGAGATGGAGGGCTGTGTCACTCTCTGACATTCAGCTTTCTGACACTCCCCCACCCCACCCTGGGCACCGGTGGCCCAACATCTCCGCCAAACCTATTTCTGGCTTCGGTCTGAGCAAAGTCAGTTACTGTCAGGGGCCCCGACCAGGAGCAGCTCAGGGAGGAACCTTACCCGCACGAAGCTGGCTGGAAACCACCCTTCGCCATCAGCAACTCGGCCCCACCACCACTCTCTGTTGGTGGCATCCATCACTTCAATGACGTCCCCAGCTTTGAAGCCCAGTTCCTGGTCATCCATGGTGACATGGTCCCAGAGCGCTTCAGCACAGACCACACTGCCATCACTGAGAAGCTGCAGAGAGAGTCATGGGCAGGCAGGTCAGTGGGGTGGGGCTGCCTGGGCCTCCCTACCCTCTGGCCCCACACCTTGCAGCCCTGGGAAGAGCCCAGAAAGCTCCATTCCTGGAGTGGGCTGTATCCTGGCATGTGTAGACTGTCAGGGTTCAGTAACGGAGCCTGACACGGATTCTGTGAACTGACCACAGAAGCTGATCCTACTTCAGAGACTGCCCAGCTTGTTGGGAGAGAGGCAGCATTAGAGGGGCTGGCTCCCGAGGCACAAGAAGCCCGCGTCATCCAGACTCCACCTGCTTGGCCACCAGAGTCTGGGCACAGTTTGCAGTGGTTTTTTGACACTTGCAGAACCATTCTCATGGGACCCCTGTCCAAACCCCTACTGCCCAGGGTCCTCAGCCTCGAGCCTAAGGGTCTAGTTTTAATTATTCCAACCTCCTGTTTCATTCCTAGCTCTATAAGTAGGACTGTTGCAGCTGCTCACTTTGTGACAGGACTTTCAGGGTCACTCTCCCATACTGTGTTACCAAGTCGCCCACTTTATACTTAGCTGGCATGGCACATTTCTTTTCCTTTGCTCATATAACTGGTATGGGTCCTTTCTTCTGAGTGGTGTGGACCTATGTACCACAAGGCACACGCCCTTGCCCCTCCGGGTCAACCCTTGCACAGGGAGCCCATTTCCTGTGGGGCTGCCCCCAGCTTTCCTGTAATGTGGCCTCTGTTTCCACTTCATGAATGAAGCTTCTCAGGCTTGGGGCAGGAGAGTTGGGCTGGAGGCTGCACAAGAGGTGAGGTCCATACCTTTCCCTGCTGGGACCTAACATTTGTGCCAGTTGCCATTCTTGCCTAAGTGGTCAAGAATGAATTGGGGCACCAGCTGCCAGATCCTGTGCAGACCACTCATCTGATCTGCCCCCACCCCAGATGAGCCCTCCCTTGGCTTCACTGGGTGTCCCTGGGCAATGAAAGTACAAATCCTCACATCAGCCGGGGAATTAAGGGACTCTCTGCACCTTCCCCTGAGTTCCAGTGCTGTCTTAGAGGCCTCTGTACCATGTGGGCAGGGCGAAGCCTGGGACTGGCCATGAGAGCACTCAAGCCCACTCAGGCTAGGACCTTTCTTCCAGGGGAGGGTCTGAGCAAGCAGGTTCAGGTAAAGATGAACCACTTGTTCTTCCTGTTGCCTGGGGTGACACCTGCTCCACACAGAGTAATCCCCTAGCCTGTGAGCATGTGTACCCTCAGTGTGGAAGCTGCTCAGGGGCTGCAGACTTCCCGAGGTCCCTGCAGGGAGCCAGGCATAGAGCGCTAGGTTACTCCTGGGGGACAGCAGGGCTCCACTGTGCACCATCACACTCATTCCCAGCTACAGAGTCCTGCAGCTGAGCCTGGCCTCCAGGATCACGATCTGCTGGCTGCCACACAACGGGAGGATACTGGACAACTCAGCAAGACCACATAAGAGGAGCCAGCCTGAACATGGGGACCTGTCACCCCCACCCCAAAGTGGCCTTCTTCATGAGCCCTTGGAGCCTGTGACTCCGCAGAAGGCAGAAAGCAGATGCGGTGGTGTGGGCAAGCCAGTGAGAATATGGGCTGCAGGAGAAATGTCCTGACCTGCAGTCTGACTGTAGGTCATGAAGAAGAAACCACTCAGCATGCTCCACTCCCAGATGGTTCCCAGGTGAGGTGTCTTCCTCTGTCCCAGGTTCCCTCAAATGAGTCCTGAGCAGAAGCCTGTGCCGCCCCCCACCCCCGCCCCTTTTATGCTGCCAGTCCACGTAGGTGGCTTCCCACACAACTGCCAGGGAGGCAGAGCTTCACTGAGAGACCAGGGTTCCAGGCACCATTAAGAACAAGCCCCACACCTGCCTAGTTACTTGTGGGGGTGGGGAGGAGAGGTGTTAGTTGCCTTTGTCTCTGCAGCATGCCTGGTGCAGGGACAGACACATGGCGGTGAGCAAGCCCGCTGGTGTCTCTGTGCCTCCCATCAGTGTAACAGTGTCTGCCCTATGGGACACAGCTCTGTGTAGACCCACAAATGGGAGGTACTCTTAGTAGTGACATTAAATCTGTGTTGTCACCAAGACAAAATGTGGCTCCAAGAGAGATGCTCAGAGACACGCTCCACCTCGACTGCAGCCCCAGAGAAGCCAGGGTCCTGGGTGGGGGGGTTACTGGCAGAGGCCCTCCCCAGCACCGTGTCTTAGGTTCTGCTACACCTGAGCCAGAAATTGAGCTCAGCCCTCTGGGGTGAGGCGTCCTCTCAGCCTGGTAGTGGAGTGCAGAGGCTGGCTCTGAGGCACAGGGACTAAGTTTATGTGGGGGCCTGCGGGGCTGTTCAGTGGAGGGGCAAGTGCAAGACCAAGAGGAGCCGGGGGCAGAGAGCAGGATCCCCTCCAGTGCCTCTGTGGTTCTGACTGGGAACCAGGGATAGCAGCCCTGCAACCAGCCTCAGCCCCTGACGACTCCCACCGCCCTGCCCCACCCCCACCCCGCCCTCTCGCACATGGGGAGTCCCGCAGAATGCCCAGTTGTACGGGTCAGCAAGCCTCTGTCCCCTAGAGAGACTCACACCACTTATTTCAAGTCCTAAAACGGAAAAAGCAATGCAGGTAAGGTCCAAGGGGTGCCCAAGCATCTCCCACAGACCTCGCTAACCCAGAGATGCCCGGTTCCACTCACCCGGCAGTTGTCACATGCACTCCGTTTCCAGACAACCAGCCAGCCGCAGCCACAGCTGTACCCGCATTCTCCGTTACACGGAGACGCGCCATTTTGGCCACCCCCTTACCCCTCACACAGAGAACACAGATCAGATGAAAGGACCCCCTGGCACTTGTGCCGCCACGCCCCAGTCACCGGTTTGGCGGTACCCCCAATGAGCACGTGAGGTGGCAGGACGGTCTCCCCTCTGAGTCCGGTGTGGAGGCCGTGGGTGACAGCGGCTGCGGTGCCAACGTCTGCGCCACTCACCCTGGCGCGGTCCCCCGCGGCGCCCTGAGAGGCCGCTTAGCGGAAGGCCAGCAGGAATATCAGCACGACGTTGATGAGGACGAGGAGCACCAGCACGGCGGACACCACCACGCGCTGGGCGCCGGGGGGCAGGTTGCAGCGCAGCAGGGCGCGCAGGGCGCTCCCGGGCGCCGCGGGGCCACGCCGGGGCTGCGGGCCCCTGGCCATGGCGTGCCGCCTCCCGGCTCGGTGCCGGCCGGAGCCGGCCGGGCGCAACCTGGGGAGGGCGGAGCGCCTGCGCCCGCCCGCCCGGCTCCTCCCGCTCGGCGGCGCGGCGCGGCGCTCTGCGTCCTCCGGGCTCCGCGTGTGGAGGGGGCTCGGAGGGGCTGCGGCGGCCCGGCGTGCGCTGCGCCCCGCCCTCGCGCCTGCTGGGAGGGGCCGGGTACCCTTCACGCAGCCAAAAAGGCCCTGGTCCCGCCTGCCAGGCGCACAGACGGGCGCGAGGGCTCCCTGGGAACTCGCTGTCACAGACCGAGGGCAAAACGCCTGCCTCCACCGCTCTGGGAGGGATGGGCCAGGGGCTCTGACTGCTGACGAGGCCCCGCAGGCTGCTGCTTCCCACGGCAGTGAGGGCGGGCCCGAGGCTGATCTGCTCCGCGTAGGAAGGCAGGCACGGTCCGACTGACGCACGCAGAGGAGCTCTTCCCGCTGACCTCGGTGTCAAGGCAGCATTTTGATCCTTTGGAAAAGCAACAGCTTTCTGCCCTTTTATAAAAATCCTAGGCCGGGAATGCTACCTCCGCCAGACACTGGTAGCTTTAACCCGGAGAGTCTCTGCTCTCGTTGTGTCTCCATAGAGAGCTCAGTCGAGGTCAGTGTGTACCTCTGAGAGAAGGCAAGACTGGTGGAGAGCACTGAGCCCCCTGCACGGCTCAGGCGTGGTTAAAGATCTTTGAGTAACAATCTCCGTCTCTGACCACCGGGACAGGAAGAGCCCCTGGAGGGCAGTAGGGGGGCACCCTGAGGGTATGTATGCAGAGGCTGGCTCTTCACACGTGCGTGGCTTTGTCTCTGTACGCCCAGCTTGCCGTGTGCACCAGCTCGACACGTGTGCGAGTATACGTGAGAACACTCACAAATGTCAGCGTCCAGCTGAGGACTCCAAAGCAGAGTGGGTGCCAGGTGTGTGTACACATACGTACTTGTGTATACATGTGGGTACTTCTGTGTGTGTACACATGTGGGTATCTGTGCATGCACAGGTCAGAGAAGCATGGTCTTGCATCTGGAGGTCCAGTCTAGGCCCATCTGTCCTGCCTAGTTCTTCAAAAGACCCTGGGCTAAAGGTTTGCTCCCTGAAGCTCTCAGGAGTGTTGGGGATCAGAAGACAGCTAAAGGCTCCCTGCACCTTTAAGCTCCATCAGTCCTTGTGTAAGACTGCTGTGCCCTCTCTGGGGGTACACCTTGGAGTCCTTGTGACTACACCTGTGGTTCCAGAGTAACTGCCCAAGAGACAAGGTGCAGAGGACTGTATGACCCCCAGCACAGCGGGTCTGTGAACTTGCTGGCCAGTGAGGTGTTGAGTGCTCTGGGGTCTGCAGCCCCATTGGGGGGCTGGGCCAGGACAGGGAGGCATGGGTAAATCCTTCAGTTCTGGGCACAGCCTCTGTCCCATGAATAGCAGAGCAGCCTAGGGAGGCCTGAATGTCACAGAAGGACCACTGACTTGGGCTAGATCAAAGACTGAGGGGGTCCTCCACTTTTGCCCAGGAGGGGTCACCAGCCTACACAGAGTGTGCCCCCCCAAAAATGTGTACTCATTTAAAGAAAGGAAAAAATACTGTATTAAATTTCTAATACCCAAGTTACATTTGACTCCTGCAATCGTAAGAGGTGCTCAATGTGACTTGTCGGCTGGGAGCCTGTGGCTCAAGTGGCTAAGGCGCCAGCCACATACACCTAAGGTGGCGGGTTTGAATCCCCAGCCCGGGTCCGCCAAACAACAATGATGGCTGCAACCAAAAAAATGGCCAGGCGCTGTGGCGGGGCTCCTGTAGTCCCAGCTACTTGGGAGGCTGAGGCAGGAGACTCGCTTGAGCACAGGAGTTGGAGGTTGCTATGAGCGTGATGCCATGGCACTCTACCCAGGGGGATAGCTTGAGGCTCTGTCTCAAAAAAAAAAAAATGTGACTTGTCTTCATCTTTTGTTATTGGTATATAGTTTCTTTATTAAAATGTGTATACATTTTTTTTTGAACCTTGTGTATGTCCCCAAGAGGTGGGTGCACAGCAAGGGTGACAGTGGCAACAGCTTTTCTGTGTGTGTTTCATGACCAAAAGCACAACCGAAAAGCTGGAAGGCAAAGGCCTAGGGCCTTACAGGGTTTGAGCTGGATTGCTCCACCAGGGAGGGGAGTGGCCCCTGGGCTGGTGGCAGGCCTGAGGTGGAAGGGGAGGGGGAATGGTTTGGGGAGCACAGAGGGACAAGAAATTGAAAGGGACTGTGCAGGGGCTGGCTACCAGGCAACCTCACAGCCCTGGGCAATTGTGGCTGGAGGGGCTCTGGGAAACTTGGAGCTGCTCCTGCCCCTCTCAGAGAGCATCTAAGCCCAAGTTGTCCAGCACAAGGTGTGTGGGGCACCACCAGGCTTCTCCTGGGGCTGGGTGGGAGTGAGGGACAGGAGCCAGGTCAGTGTCACAGGAGCTCAGGGACACTTGGAGAGTCAGACTGACTCCTCGTTTCCTGCACTTCTGGGTGTCACTCTAAGTGTTGTGAAAGTCTTGGGAAGGGAGTCTGCCTTCTACCCCCATCTGCCCCCATGGCTGGCTGGCAGGACAGTGTGCCCCACCTTGCTGCTGGCCTAATTCTAACACGCTTTTATGCTTCAAGCCCAGTTGGGATGGAGGGTCCATGGCTGTTTGCTCAAATCTGTCTGCCTTCTAGTTTGGGCTTTGTGTCCTGTCAATAGGAGGATCAGAAGCTGCCTCTGGTCTCTCCTTCAGCATCCTTCAGCAGGGAGACCAGAGCGGCTCCAGCACGGGCACACTGAGGGGACACAACACCCAAGGCCCTCGGAACCTCTTAGGGAGCCAAGAGGAAGCTCTGGGTGGGGCCTGGCTGTCAGGGGACAGGTGTGCCCATAGGAGCAAGTGGGTAGCAGGAGACCCCAGGGCTCCCCAGTAGGAACTATGTCATCCTCTCCCTGGTCACTACATCCTACACACTGGCCACACTGCCACTGCTGTGGGGTGCAGTTGGGTGGTCACACACTAATGGGGCACTTCTGGCTTTAGCTTCACCTCTTCAGAAGTCCTAGGGCTAAGGGTGTCCTCAGGCCTGACTGCAGGGAGGGCAGCCCACCCCAGAAGGGCCAAGTAGAGAGGTGGGGCAAGGGACTGGACCATGGGGCAAAGCCACAAGAAGAGAGGGGCTCCTCTGGGCACTGAAGACAATCAGCACTCACATTCCTTAATTCATCTTGCAGGGACTGGGCGATCCCAAGGGGCAAAGCACAAGTGAGTGCAAGGAATGCAACACTTAGTAGAATAGGCACTACTTCCCCAGAGCACAGGAGAGGTGCAGTGCCCACACACACACACTGGGTGGCAGCTTTCTGACAAAGGACTCTGCCTCTTGCTCAGTTGCACCCTGTTGCCTGCACACCACCTGACGCAGTAAGTACTCAGTATTATGTGATATGTGCATGCAACACACACGAACAGACAGCACACGCACAGCCTTTACACATAGTGTGTACACACATGCACGCAGACATGCGAATACAAAAGTCACTCCTTACATATCCAGAACACAAACTGACTGCCTCACTAGTCTCCCCTGTGTCTACAGGTCTCCAGGCCAGAAGGTTGGGGTTCCCTTCCACTTAGGAAATGGAGATGTGGTTTCCCCTTCTCAGTTCAACACCAATAAGAAAGTGTCACAATTTAGAGCCCCCGCATTCTTAGAAAATAGAAGTGAATGTGTGATTTTAGAGCAAGCCAAGTATTAGTGAGGACTTGCCTCTGACACCTGTTGCTTTGATCACCTTTAGGTATGAAACTCACAATAACCCCCAACCCTGCCATAAAGCTTCTTAGTAAGCACACAGGGGCTGTGGAAGCTGCCTTCGGAGGGCTGGGGAACTAGCCTCATTGGACACTCACCTGGTGTATCTTTTCAAAAAGTTTCTGAAGAGATGAGTCTTTTCAATATGTCCAGCAAATCACAGCAAGCAGGCATTGCCTTTCCTGAGTACCCAAGACAAGCCAGGCACAATGGGTGCAGGTGCCACTCTACCTGCCACAAAGAGGGACTGCCTTGTTGCAGGTGCTGCACTGGCCCCAGAAGGTGGCCTCCAAGCTCTGACCTGCCTTCCTGCTGCCTCTTTCAGGGTGGCATTTCTTGGCCTTTCTATATCAGGATCTGGAAGCCATGGTGGATCCAGTGAGGGTGAGCAGTCAAGTGCACCTCAACTGGGTCAGGAACCTGCCTTCCAGGACCAGTCTGTGGCTCACTGGAGAGGGGCTCCTTGCCCTGACTTGCTATTGTCCTTGTGATGTGGCACAGCCTCTTTCCTGAGGGCACAGTGAAGGTCCAGGGAGGACATTCCTGGAAAGGGAGTATCTAAACACATGTAGGTGCACCAGCATCTACTCCAATGCCAAGAAAGACCTTTGCAGTAACAGGATGCAAATTCTCCAAGCAGCCCAAATGGGTGCTTATAAAATTCATAATCTAAGTTTCTATGCTCCTCTGCCACAGAATATTGTTCATATTTGTTCTTTCTGTGGCCAAAGCACCTTAGAATGAACAACCTGTCAAGGAAATGAGAGCCTCAAAAGGTACCTCCTTGCCAGCAGCAAGATATACTACTCAATAATTTCACCATCAGGTAGGAGACATACAACTGTAAAATGCAGAAACAAGAACTCTGATCATGCCGCATGTACCCCCAGTCAAGTAACCCCCACTTCTCCAGGTTCCCTGAGAGTTGTGTTACTTTCTTCTTCATCATCTTCTTGGTCATTAGAGATTTACTGAGAACCCACCCCGGCCAGGCTGTGTACATTCTCTGCTTCCATCAGTCCTCATGCAACCTCATGGTCAAATGAACCACTTCTGATAGTCACCTGCGCAGAGTGGCATGCCACCCACATCTGACAGGCCCCTACTGGAGCAGAGGAGGCAGCAGCCTGAGTCTTCATGGAAAAGCACAACCATTGCCTGTGAATTCTGCTCACCATGCCATTATTTATTTATTTTTTTGAGACAGAGTCTCACTTTGTCATCCTTGGTAGAGTACCCTGGTGTCATAGCTCACAGCAACCTCAAACTCTTGGGCTCAAGAGATTCTCTTGCATTAGCCTTCTGAGTAGCTGGGACCACAGGCATCTGCCACAATACCCAGTTATTTTTTTAGAGATGGGGTCTTTCTCTTGCTCAAGTGGGTCTCAAACTCCTAAGCTCAAGCAATCCACCCACCTCAGCCTCCCGGAGTGCTAGGATTACAGGCTTGAGCCACTGCACCTGGCTCATGGCATGATTTCAGAATACCTTCTATCCACAATAGCTTAGAGAGGCACTTTAAAGAGAAAGGTATTATTTGTTGGAAAAACTAACTTATTTTTGCATGTTTATTTTCTATATGTCATGGATTTTGAATAATGCATTATATAAGCACTATTTTAAAACACTGTCTAGAGCCAGGCCTCTAAGAAGAGTTCCTAGGCATTGGAACTCTGTCTAGTGGCTGTTCCCATTCTGGACAGTTCCTACTCTGTCCAGCCGGGAGCAATGACTGTTCCTTACTGGTTTCTGAGAAGCCTTCCAGCCCATTCATTCACAAAAAGGTTAAAGTCTAACTGTTTCCTCTTCATGAGGAAAAATCTGAGTGCTGCAGGCTCCTGGGTTGCCAGATTCTGATTTTGTGAAGCAGAAACACACCAGTACTTTGTGACCAGAACGTGGTGTTTGAGCATCTAGTGAAACTGCCATTATGTTCCACAACCCTCCAAATGAAACAAGCAAGGGAGAAAATAGGAAGATACAGGAGAAAAATCGAGGAGAATGAATCAAAGTCTCAAAATTGCTCTCTCCTAGGAGAGTTTCCCACAATTTGGGTGGGAAACTCGTTCTGCACACATGAGGTTTCTCACTAATTTCTTCTGCTTAGGTAGGAATAACAAAATATGGTCACTTGCATGCAGTTGTCATAGCAACGGCAATACTTTTGTACTCTTGGTGTCAACAGGAGGGAAAACAGTTTTCACTGGCCTTGTTTCTCAGTCTGCTGGTAAGAGGGTCAGAGGCTGGAGGCATGGGGGAAACCCTGGCCTCCCTTTGACCAACTGTGCTCCCTTCCAGGAGGCTCTTGGAGCTGCTCCAGCAGCCTAGCAGGCCTGCTCTTCTGGGCTCTGTGGGCCCAGGAGGGCATGGGGTAGTTCTGTGTCTGGACAAATTCTGCTCTTGACACCACATTCTAAAGTGAGAGCCACAGGCTAAAGCCTGGCTGTGAGTAGCCAGCAGTATTATCACCTGCCTGGAACACAGGCAGTGGACATCTGTCCAGCCTGAGTGTGCTAGAGTTGCCCTGACAGCCAGGGCCACATCTGTCCAGTCCCCACCCCTGTCCGCATAGCCCTGGCCCTACCTCATTGATGGCCAGCTGCTCGCCGCCCCCTCCAGGGTGGCTATAGTGGTGGCCAGAGCCGTGCAGGTCCTCATACAGGTCTTCCTCGCTCCCTGCCTCGTCAGCACGCATGGCCGAGTCCAGAGCTCCATCAGGCATAGCTGCAAGGAGAGACAGCAGCTGGCAAAGTGGAGCGAGCTCGAGAGGGAGGGGGAGCATGCAGAGAATCCGAGCCACAGAACAGACACTCTCCAGTGAAAGGGGAAGGCTGGGGAGCTAGGTTCTCAAACCATCCTTCCTGCAAAAAATGTGGCCTGGTTAAAAGAATGCATCAGCCGATTCACACCACCAGCCACTAGGGCAAGAAATGTGAGTACCCACCACAGCACCCCATTCAGGAGTCTCCTAGGTCAGATTCAGTTGTCTATGGTATAAGGCTCTTAAGAAAAATGTTAAAATTTTGTTATGAAATATACGCTTATGTGTGTGTACTGCAAGAAAACATACAGCATATGCACGCAAATACAGTTGGAAATGCAATGAATGACCAGTCCTGGTACTCCTACCTCCTCCTGTCCCACTCCCCTCTCACTCGTATAGAGGCATCCAGGAGTCCGCAGTTTTTATATCTCATTCCCATGCTTGTCTTTGTTGCAGCGTTGATTCTGCCCAGTTACGCCATCCAGCACGTGCCCTTCTCTGGCTCTTCTCACTCAACTGCTTGTGTAGCTGTAGTTTGATGTACATTCACTGACTTACAGTTTTGTTTCTGTAAATCTCTCAAACGTAGTGTGTCTTCTGTCCCCACTGGCCCAGGGTGGGCTGCTCCCTGTGCTGCTGCTGCGCACCTGTCCACACACCTGGGCACGCCTCCGAGGGTTTCTCCAGGGCACCGCGCCTCCAAGGATGTCTCCAGGGCACTATTCCTCAGCTTCGTTCTCGTGACTGCCCCTCTAGGGAGCCTTTATCACATTGTTCTCCTAACCGTTTCCTGTACACCATGAAATTTTGATGCCACAAATTTATATTTCCTTTAATGTGAAATTTCTGAGTTTTACCATTTTTTCTATTGAGTTGCTTACATTTAACATATCATTGGGGTAAAAATATGCATTTATGTATAGTTTCCCCTCCTCCCTTCTAGCGTGTCTGTTCATATGTGTTCCTGCTGTTTCATCCCGGGGTGGGGCTTGCTTGTCATTCTCTTTAAGGTGTTTTTTGATGAACAGAAGTTCCTAGTTTTCATATAGACAAATCTATCTGTGTAGTCCCATATAGCTTATGTATTTCATGCTTAGGAAATTCTTCCCCACCTCAAAGTCATGAAGTTATTCTTCTGTGTTATCCTTTAATATTTTATAGCTTTTGACGTGCAACCTTTTAATCCACCTGGAAATAATTTCCATATTGGGCATGAGGTTGGCATCTAAGTTAATTTTTTCCATAAAGAATGGTCTTAGTACCAGTTACAAAGTAGGAAGTCCTTTCCCATGGATCTATAATGTTTCTATAATGTTTGGTCTGTCCTTAAATTGAGTTTTCATATAGATGCATTTGCATCTGGACACTATTCTTGTGGAAGGTAGAATAATGGCCTCAAAATGACTAATAGTTCTACCCCCCCAGGGCCTATGAATATGTTATGTTACATCACAGAAAGGAATTGAGGTTGCAGAATTCAGGCAGCTATCAACTGACTTCAAAACCAAGAGTTTATCTCAGATTATCTGAGTGGGGCCAACATAGGTGAAAATAATAACTTTCACAGCTCAGCACAGGCATTTCCTCTTCTGTACAAGCCTCACCCCTGCCTCTGTCTGACTCTCAGGGTGCCAGGACAATTCTCCTAGCATGAGATGCCACCCTCTCCACCACCATGCTGGCCTCCCTCCCCAACTAGACTTCAAGCTCCTTGAAGGCAGGAGCCATTCCTTATTGTTGATGCCCACACTAGTAAATGTTAAATATATAAATGAGTAAACAGATGGAAGTAAGAGCAGTGGCTAAATGGTGACTACACAGATGAATAAACAAATGGAGAGATGAATGCCTGAGCAGACAGAAGCCTGGAGGACCGGCGGGTGGGCATATGGCCAGCTCCTCACAGGAGGAGTCTGCGGGCTTAGCAGAGTCAGTGCCAGGAACACAGTTAAGTTTCATGCACATTCCCAGAACTGACCTGGGAATCCCTGTCTCCAGCCCAGCAGCAGTGGCCTGAGCCCAGCATGCCAGTAGGAGCCGAGGGCTCTGCTCCTGACCTTTGTGCATAGACAAGAGTCCCAAGGAATCCTCAAAAATTTTTATTTCATCTGTGTTTTAAAACTGTTTTATTATGGAAAGTTCAAATGTGCACAGAGGAAAAATAATAGTATAATGAACTGTACACACATATATTATCATCCAGCTTGAACAATTCTCAACATGAGGCCAGTCTGGTTTCATCATCTAATTCACCTTGCCTTTGGATGGTTTTTAAAGCAAACCCAAGGCACGCTATTATTTCATCTGTAAATACCATGGGATGTGTTTTTAAGAAGCAAGGACCCCCATCTCTCTCAATCAAGGTGATATACTTTCCTCTCAAAGGCACTAAAAACCCTCTTTATATTGAAGTAATTATAGAGTTACAGGGTGTTACAACAACCTTAGTACAGGTCCTACGTATCCTTCACCCACTTTTCCCAAGAAGTGTACCATATCCTATGTATCCTTCACCCACTTTTCCCAAGACTATACCAGATCACAGCCAGGAACCTCATGTTGATACAATTTTTGCATATTGTTCTATGTCATTTTATCACCTGTACAGATTTGTGTAACCATTAGGAAAACCTGCATGTAAACTTTTTCAGTTGGCCTTTTTTCACTCAGCCAAATGCCCAAGGTCCATCCAAGTTGTGAATATTAATATTTCACTCCTTTTTATTGCTGAATAGTATTGCATGGTATATAAATTAATACCAGTGTGTTTAACCATAAACCTTTTTAGGGATGTGCAAGTTGTTTCCAATTTTTGGATGTTATGAATATGGCTGCTATGAACAGTCGCAAGTGGGCTTTTGTGTGAACAGAAGTTTTCACTTCTCTGGGATAAATGCCCAGGAGTGCAATTGCTGGGTCATGTGGGAGTTGCATATTTAGCTTCTAAGAAACTGCCAAACTATTTTTCAGAGTGGGTGCACTAATTTACACTCCACACTCTATGGTATGCGAGATGGTTTCCCTGAATGCTCACCACCATTTGTAATGTCACTAATTATGTTTTTGACATTCTGATAGGTGTGCAGTGATGGCTCATCAGGGTCTCAGTTTGCATTTACTGAAAGGTTGGCGATGCTAAAGACCTTTGTATGTGCTTATTTGCCATATATCCTCTTTGGTGAAATATCACTTCTGTATTTTGTCTGTTTTTTAATTGGATTTTTTGTTGCTTTAATGTTGAGTTTTGAGTGTTCTTTATATATTATAGATAAGAGTTTTTTGTTAAATATGTAGCTTACAAGTATTTTCTCTCAGTCTATAGCTTATCTTTTCACTCCCTTATCAAGGGTTTTCAAAAGGCAAACATTTTTATTTTTCATGATGTTACACTGATCAATGTTTACTTTTGTAAGTCATGCCTCTAGTGTCATGTCTAAGAACTCCTCACCAAAACTTTGTTCCCCAAACTTTCTTTTATGTTTTCTTCCATTTATTTTTCTTTGTCAATTGAACTGTATTTTCCCAAAATGTTATAACAGCTAACAGAACAATGCCTGTCAAGGACAACTGTCACTTGGGGTCCATTTTTGACCTCAGCAACCATGGGGAAGCAGCTGCAGCTTTGGTGAGGGCCATTCGGACATTTTCTTCTAAAAGTCTGCAGTTTTAAATTGAATCCATTTTAAGGCTTAGGTTAAAGGTTCATTTTTACTGCCTATGGGTGGTCTAATTTTTCCAGCACCATTTGTGAAAACACTATCTTTCCTTCACCAAATTGCTTTTATACTCTTGTAAAATTCAGCTGGCAAAGTGGGGACATTACTACCTATTTTACAGAAATGAAAATGATTATAAGAGAATACTATGAACTGTTCTATATCAACAAATTAAACTAGAAGAAATGGAAAATTTCTAAAAACACACATCTACCAAACTGACTCAAAAAGAAATAGAAAATTTGAATAGACATATAATTAGTAAGGAGATTGAATAAGTAATCAAAACATCCCAATAAAAAAAAACCAGGACCAGATGGCTTCTATCATTTAGCAGTGAATTCTAACAGATGTCTAAAGAATAAGTAACATCAATTCTTCTCAAATTCTTCCAAAAAATTGAAGAGGAGGTAATACTTCCTAACTCATTCTAGAAGGCCTGATAATACACCAGGCAAAGAAACTACAAGAAAAAAAAACTAAGACTAATCTCTCTTATGAGTATAGAGGCAAAACTCAATAAAATACTAGTAAATCAAATTAAACAGCATATGAAAAGGAATCAATATAGGTCAGAAGAATGAAGGAGGAAAAACATGTCATCTCAACTGATGCATAAAGGGCATTCTTCAACACCAGGGGTCCTCAAACTTTTTAAACAGGGGGCCAGTTCACTGTCCCTCAGACCGTTGGAGGGCTAGACTGCAGGTCCTGGGACAAGAGGGCTGCTAAGCAGGACAGGCAGCAGTGACAAAAACACCAGGCGGGCCGGATAAATGTCCTAGACGGGCCGCATGTGGCCCACGGGCCATAGTTTGAGGAAGCCTGTTAACACCTTCTCACAATAAAACAATAAATTAGGAATGGAAAGAAATGTTCTTAATATGATAAAGGCTGCATAAGAAACACAGCAAACATACTCAATGATAGGAGGTCAGAACAGACAAGGATGCCTGCTTTCTCTACCTCTATTCATTACAGTATGAGAAGTCTTGGTGAGACCAGATAGACAAGAAGAAATAAAATGTATACAAATTGAAAAATAAAAAATAAAATTATCTGCTTGCAGAGATGATCATTTATGCAGAAACCCAGAAGTATCTACATAATTTATTGTTAGAGCTAACAAATTGAGCACAGCTGTAAGAAAACAGATCAACACACAAAATCAGTTTGTTTCTGTATATTTGCAATGAGTAATCTGAAAAGAAAATTTTTAAAAATTTCATTATAATAGTATTAGG